AGCAGGGGGCACTGGCACACACAGGGACAAGACTGATCCCCAGCTGGGGGCGCTCACACCCTCCCCTCACCCCCAGCGCCTAGAAGGGGAGCGCGACGCCCTGAGGACGACGGCGGAGCTGCTGCAGCTCAGACTGGCCTCGCTCAGCGACATCCTGGCCCTGCAGGAGCTGGAGCTGACCAGGAAGGTAACGGCCCCCTGGCACCGCTGGGTCGCTCTCCCCTGGCAACCGGGGCTGGCCCAGTTCCCCAGGGCGGCTCTAGGGGGCGCTGTGCTGCGGGGGGCTGCGCTGTAGCCTGGCGTTGACCCAATGTCTCCCTCCAGCCCTGTGACCCCCTGCAGCCCGAGACGGCCCAGAAGAGCCAGTCCCTGCTGAGCCGCTGGCGGGAGAAGGTCTTTGCCCTCATGGTGCAGCTCAGATCCCAGGAGCTCGGCCACGTGGACGCCACCAACCTGCTCCAGAGGAAGGTGAGGGCCTGCTGGAGGGGAGCGGGGTCTAGTGCTGGGAGCCCGGACTCCTGGGTTCTATACTGGGGGAATTCTGCGCCAAAGAATGTAAAATTCTGCACACAATGTTTGAAAATTCTCCCAAATTCTGCGTATTTGATTTGTCAAAATAACACAATAGAATCATGGCAGTTACAATTATTTTGGTCATTTATTTCAAACTATCCGTCAGCGAGTATGTCGGTAACGATACAGACCCAAGCAAAAAATATGCTGGTCATTTGTTTTGACAAATAGATTCCTTACGAGGCGTATTCATACACAACTTGGTTTGATTCTTCTAAATGACTCTACAGAGCTGTATTTCCTACCCCCGTCAGAAGCAGTGCAAACGCCTGGGGGAGTCAGGGGTAACGGAGGAGCTGAGGGAGAGGGAAGGAGCCAGGAGGGTGTTGGGTGTAGGTGGGAGGTTTTTCTTGGCAGGGGGGATTGTTAGGGAGTTGGGAAGACTCCCCCATGCAGACCCTGGCTGACCCCGAGCCTCTCCCATTCAGTCAGGCACATCTGCCCGTGTCCCTGCACCCCGCATCCCATGGGTCTCTGCAGCCCGCCGTCCCCAGGCTCAAAGCTGTCATCCCATGCCCCAGTCTGTGCCCCCCACTAGCCATTCTGAACCCCAGTCTGTGACCCCCAGTAGCCCTGTGTGCCCCGCTCTGTCCTAACCTGGCTCTGCCAGCAGTGATCAACTCCACTCCAGGGGAATTCTGCAGAACTGGGCATCGAATTTTGTATTTTCTGTCATAAAATACATTTTGTCTAAGAAGTGCTGCAGTCTGCCTTTTTCCCACCAGAGGGCGCTGTGGCGCTATAACGCAGCATAGAATCATGGGACTAGACAGGACCTCGAGAGGTCACTTAGTCCTGTCCCCTGCACTCATGGCAGGACTAAGTATTACCTAGACCATCCCTGGCAGGTGTTTGTCTGACCCTGCTCTTAAACATCCCCAGTGATGGAGATTCCACAACCTCCCTAGGCAATTTATTCCAGTGCTTAACCACCCTGACAGGAAGTTTTTCCTAATGTCCAACCTAAACCTCCCTTACTGCAATTTAAGCCCATTGCTTCTTGTCCTGTCCTCATTGGTTAAGAACAATTCTTCTCCCTCCTTCTTGTAACAACCTTTTATGTACTTGAAAACAGTTATCATGTCCCCTCTCAGTCTTCTCTTTTCCATACTAAACAGACCCAGTTTTTTCAATCTTGCCTCATAGGTCATGTTTTCTAGACCTTTCATCATTTTTGTTGCTCTTCTCTGGACTTTCTCCAATTTGTCCTCATCTTTCCTGAAATGTGGCACCCAGAACTGGACACAATACTCCAGTTGAGGCCTGATCAGTGCAGAGTAGAGCGGAAGAATGACTTCTTGTGTCTTGCTTACAACACTCCTGTTAATACATCCCAGAATGATGTTCGCTTTTTTTGCAATAGTGTTACACTGTTGACTCATATTTAGCATGTGATTCACTATAACCCCCAGATCCCTTTCCGCAGTACTCCTTCCTAGACAGTCATTTCCCATTCTGTATGTGTGCAACTGATTCCTTCCTAAGTGGAGGACTTTGCATTTGTCCTTATTGAATTTCATCCTATTTTCCTCAGACCATTTCTCCAGTTTGTCCAGATCATTTTGAATTCTCATCCTGTCCTCCAAAGCACTTGCAACCCCTCCAGCTTGGTATTGTCCACAAACTTTATAAGTGTGCTCTCTATGCCATTATCTAAATCGTTGATGAAGACATTGAAAAGAACCGGACCCAGAACTGATCCCTGTGGAACCCCACTCGTTCTGCCCTTCCAGCATGACTGTGAACCACTGATGATTTCTCTCTGGGAATGGTTTTCCAACCAGTTCTGCACCCACCTTATAGTAGCTCCATCTAGGTTGTATTTCCGTAGTTTGTTTATGAGAAGGTCATGCAAGACAGTATCAAAAGCTATATTCCCCGTCTACTACTTCCCCCCATCCACAAACTTTCTTTGACAGGGTAACAAGCCATCAGGTTGGTTTGACACAATTTGTTCTTGACAAATCCAGGCTGACTGTTACTTATCACCTTATTATCTTCAAGATGTTTGCAAATTGATTGCTTAGTTATTTGCTCCATTATCTTTCCAGAGTTAAGCTGTAATTCCCCAGGTTGTCCTTATTTCCCTTTTTATAGATGGGCACTAGATTTGCCCTTTTCCAGTCTTCTGGAATGTCTCCCGTCTTCCATGACTTTTCAAAGATAATCACTAACGGCTCAGATATTTCCTCAGTCAGTTCCTTGAGTATCCTAGGAGGCATTTCATCAGGCCCTGGTGACTTGAAGACATCTAATTTGTCCAA